ATATAGTCTCTTTGTAAACGCCTATTCTATCCTGAAAACAAAAAGTGAAAGAAGTCTAATTCCTTTTTTATTTTTCCATCTGAGTTCTCCAGCTTTGCGTAGTTTTAGTACAAACAAGAAAATCTTAACAACACTGGTTCCTACATTTAAGTTGTCACATATTTTACAGAGATAAATCACTTAAACTTTGTATTAATTGCTCACAATCTAACATACTGCAGCTACAACTGTTACCTTTGCATAACTGTTACCTCTGTATATCAAATCAGGGTAAGTGGTAGTCCCAGAGAAATAGAATAATTTCACCAAACTTCTCTGCCTAGATTTAGTCAAGACTCACTAGGTCTCCAAAGTAGGAAAACATAAAGTATAAATGAAATGAAACCCTAAGGGGGTAGAATACAAAACAAAAACTCTTTGGGTTTTTGTTCATTTCTGCTCCATGGTGTATAACCCCAGAGAACCAATAAATGCAGATGGAGCACAAAAAATATGAACTCACCTTAATGTTGCAATTCTTTTTATAAGTTCCACTAATCCAAATGTTTGTTTCACAAGTCATGTGCAAGACAGAGTTTGCATGGTTTATATTCCCAGGATCCCATTATGGTAAAGCTCAAACCCAGTTCACTCAAATACTAGTAAAACTGAAAAAAATAGGGTTAAGATTTCCAACTGATAATAAATCCCTTCATGTGGCCAAAAATCTGACCTCTGTTCTCCACTATTACTTATTACAAGACTACAAGAATAAATATGGTAAATAAGGTACTAAATAGAAACATATATTTGTGCCATCTAAATACAGATGGTGCAGATGAAGATATACATCAGATTTTTCAGTTTCTCTCTATGCAGCAGAACATTTCTGCATTGTACCCTTGCTAGAATTTGCTTTCTCTAACTTTAAATGTCCCAAGTTATGACTTTCTACCACTTGCCTTGCAAAATAATTTCATAACCTAAAACAGCTTACTATCTTTGGTGCATGTTTCTTTTGTATAATTATTTGCTTATTACTCCTGTAACTCATACTATCATCCGGAATAACTCTTCCGTCTCTCTGGAGTTGCAGCTATTTAGTTGCAGCCCTCTTCAGCCAGGTTAGTAGGGGAGGAAAGACAAGGAAACCAGTATTATATCCCTATTTTTAAATAAGAAATCAATAATTAACTTTTTTTTTTTTTAGAATAAAAATATCTAGAAAGCACTTCCTCCTGTACAGGTCAGGAAGGAAAAACAGTCTTGCCACTATTGCCCATAAAATAATGGGGCCAAAATGAGACTGGGCTCATTCTACTAACAATCATAAAAACATCTATAAAAACCAAGGGGGCTGCTTAAGCTAGGATTCAGCCCAGCAACCTCTTTTCAATGCTAGATTTTTGAACTTACTCTGAAAAACACCAGTTTATTGCAGAATCCCCTTGAACACTTACACAGTGGAGTACCTCAGAATCGTCTTATTATGTTTCTTCTTACAGTCCTGTCCCTCTGACCCCTGGTGATTTCTGAAATGAATATTATTTGTTTTACAGACAGACATTTAGAATGAAAGAAGCCTAACATCTCACAGATGCAAAAAGGCAAGAAATTGATCTTCTGAAACCTAGATAGTATATCAAGATCATGGACCATCCATCACAATTTCAGAAACAGCTAAGTGAGCTTTTCAGTCATATTAAATCTTCTGAAGCTGGGTTTCTAATAAGATGCAAGGCTGTAAACTGCAGTGGTGGAGACAGAAAAAAAAAATCTTTTTGTCTCCTTCTTATGCAAGTATCAACATCTACCACCACAACTAACACTTTCAGAGCTCCTCTATTAGAACTGAGCCTGTTGAACCATAGCAGATATTCAGATTCTTGCCTTGCCTTTCTCCTACTACACTAAAAGAAAATGATGAAAGTAGTTTTGTGGCATTTGCATTTCGGAGTGTAGGGATTCTCCTAAAATAAAAGTCCAAACAAATGTCTAGAGCCAAATTATGACAACTAAACACAACAACTGAAAGAGAGATCTTACTACAATCTTCTCTTCACTTTCAATTGCTTAGTTTTCTACTTTCTTGATTCTTTTGATGCCATCTTCTCTCTACTTTTTAGTTATTAGGGTCTTCAGACAGGATAGGATCTGATTTTGTAGTGTGAAAAAGAGAAAGAGAAGCCTTTAGGTTTTCTCCACACAACATTGAAAAAAACAATGAGATAGATACTCCTACTGTCTAATGGCACAAATACCATTTTTAGTAAATAACTTAAATCATTTATGTCAATGCTTTTCAATTAGATTTTAAAATGCTATTATTAACCCTAATAGAAGTACATCTGTATGCAGCATTAAGAACAGATACCAGTGATTGCAAAGTCATGCTCATGGTTATCAAGAACTTACAGAAAACTTTAAAATTAGCTCAGATTACGATATCACATGAAGTTAAAACAACCAAGGATGACTTTATCACAATCCTATGCATGGAAAATCTGTTTTGGAACACAAAATTTTAATTGTTATGTAACATCACATGCTTACAGAGAACAAAAAGTACTAAATAAGTCCGTTGGCATGTGCTGGGGCCTGGAACCTCTACAGTTCTTGAGCACCCTACTCCCACTGGAAAAGTCTAAACATCTCCAAAAATGTGAACTGCAATCCTATGTAACTGGCATTGTTTAGCAAAAATATGTTTAAAGCCCACTACTTATGCATTGAAAACCAGTTTAACATTGAACTATGCAGGCTAAGATCCTTAATAGTGACTTCTAAAATTATTGCTCAACTGTATTCCTTCCCCCCCCCCCAAAAAAAAAATCTCACTTAGCTCCCAAAGTGGCCATAAGGCTTTTTTTACATGTGAAGTAAAGTAAATATATAAGCATGTGCAAAATCCTCGGCAATACTACCCTTAGACCTGACTTTTATTTGCAAATTAAGTATGCACTTTAAAATTTAACAGTGACTAAATACATAGGAGATGACAGATTAAAAATCCACTCAGTGAGACTTCCTGTATGCAACATAACAAAACATTTCTTACATTTGAAAACTAATTTTCAGCGCTGCTGTACTGTAATTCAATACAGTTTACAGAGATCAGATATGCATGTGTAGCAACAGGGCAGCGTCTTCAAAATGCAACAGCTCTGTGGAGCCAAACTGTGATCTATATCAAAGAACAATCCATTCAGAAGTTTGCTTTTCCCCTTCCTTCTTTGCTGTGCTAAGGAACAAAAGAGGCTAAATTTCTTCTTCTCTTCCAGAGAGCAGTAGCTATTAAACTGTAAGCCCCCTCAAGGACTAGCTCATACAAAACCACATCTAATTTCTTCCCCTGCTGCTATTCCTACATCTTGGTGCAGGGAGAGGTTGCTCAGAGAAAGAGACCATAACTCTAAGGAAATATAGGTACATTAGGAGATGTTATCTGAACAGACAACTACTGAGATTCGCTCTATTGCACTACCACCTGCAATATGCACCATGCTACAACGGCAGTGAAAAGCTGGATATATCAGAAAGGGAAGAAAAAGCATGAGCACAAGCAACACAGCAGTTGACCACTGTTGGTATCACTGGAAGCAATGGTGAGAGCATCTGTGCAAACCAATGTCTTGTCTAACTTAGGAGAGCTGAACGGATACAAGTCAGTCCAGGCATTGGCCATAACGAAAGAGAATCAGCTCAGTACCACTGAATTTCTGAAACCAAGCCACAACATGAAGATTTTCAGCACAAGGTTTATCTGCATTGACTTCACACCTTCAGATAATTTGCTTTGAATTTCTAGAGGGCCTTGCTAGACAAACAGAGAGGAAAGGCCTTTCTAAACAAGACAATGCAGGGAAACAGCTAACGCAGAGCAGTAGTTCTGCTCTGGAGGGATAAGTGTGAAGAGTTTGGGAATCACAGGAAAAAAAAAAGGTGCCAGAGAAATTAATGTGAATTTTACAGGGAGAATAGATGCCTCTATTAGGGGGCCTTCGTAGAGGGAGGAGTTAAATGAGATGAGGCTATCTCTGCTTTCCAAAATGCCAAGGTGTCGTCTCAAAGGAGAGAAAATATCCATTAGCAGTTTCCTATTAAACATCCCCATGAGCAGTATAAAAGGGCTTGTACCTCCTCTTACGTGTAACTCACCTGATAATGACTGAAATTTATTAATAGCAGTTTTAATACATGGATGTATCACGATAGCTTTTCTGAACAGGGAAAAAAGACAAACTCTTTGGAAATGCAACAGGGCACGTAACTCCTGGAAGCGAGAGAGAGAGAACAGCACAAGGAAATAATAAAATAAAATAAAATAAAATAAAATAAAATAAAA